TGGAAAGAAATATGGGGTGGTTGTCATTTTGTACCTACATGAAGCAAAACTTTGCCGCTGGTGTGTAAGTCTTTGTATTTCTGCTGGAGAACACCTGGAGGGACATGCTGTATCATGTTGTGAGATATACATCCAACTTCATTACAGACAGCCGTATTTCAAAGACAATTTCCATTTACTGCAGTTTTCAAATAGGAAATGTGAGCTCTAGAGTTCCAACTGCCACACTAGGTTCGTAAACTTTGCACGTCTTTTTGTTGAGAATCGTGCTATGCATTTGTTGCAGAAATTTCCATGACTATGGAGTGTTTATGGAATCTCCTAGATTCCATTAACAGTTCCATTAAAATAGTGATCATACAGCTGGGCTGTGGTGGTGCATGCCTTTAATCCCAGCACTCAGGAGGCAGAGGCAGGCAGGTCTCTGTGAGTTTGAGGCCAGCCTGATCTGCAAGAGCTAGTTCCAGAACAGGCTTCAAAGCTACAGAGAAGCGTGTCTCAAAAATAAAAATCATGATCATGCATACTTTTGAGTGTTACTTGAATATGTATTTTTGATAAAGTATCTGTTAATACTTTATTTTATATTGTGACAGAGATGTAGCTCACTGGCCTAGCACTTGTCTAGCAGAGGTGGATTCCATTTCTAGCAGTGAAAAATATGCACAATATGTTTATGTATGTATTTTCACAGTTTGGAATGTGTAGGTATATATGTGCACATATTGTTTATTCTCTTATTTCTGAGTGGCTAGAAGCTTGATATAAGCTGAACAGAAAAGTTTTTACTAGAAATGCTCTGACCATTTCTTTTCTTATTACTTAACTTTCACTAGACAATACCTTATGTAATACTTCATCTTTTCCTAGTCAGAATGGCCAATGGAAGAATAAACAAAGCAGCAACAACAAATGACAGCCCATGCTGGTGAGAATGTGGGGAAAGGGGAACACACGTGCACTGCTGGTGGGAGTGTAAACTGGTGCAGCTACTATGGAAATCACTAGAAGTTTCCTTAAACAGCTGAAAATGGATCTGCCCAAAGATCCAGCTGTACCACTGTTGGGCAGATACCTAAGGTCTCTGTGTCTTACCACAGAGATATGGGCTCTTCCACGTTCATTGCTGCTTTATTCACAACGGTCAGGAAATGGAAACAGCAGAGATGCCCACTGAGTGGTGAACTGTTACTCAATTTGGTAAAGTTACACAATGCAATTATTAATGTGGCAGAAAAAAAATGTAAAGTTTTAAGTAAATGAATAGAGCTAGAAATGATTATGCTGAATGAGGTCCCCAGGTGTAGCAGGAGGCTGCTTGTTCATTTCCCAGCCACTCAGACTCCCGAAATAACCACACAGAAACTGTATTATTAAATCACTGCTTGGCCCATTAGCTCTAGCTTCTTATTACCTAACTCTTACAGCTTAATTTAACCCATTTCTATTAAACTTTGTATCGTCACGAGGGTGTGGATTACAGGGTAAAGTTCTGGCATCTGTCTCCAGTGGGGCTACATGGCTTCTCCTGACTTTGCCTTCTTTCTCCCAGCATTCAGTTCTGCTCCGCCCTATCAGGCCAAGCCAGTTTCTTTACTCATTAACCAATAAAAGCAACACATATACAAAAGGACCTCCCACACCAACCAGGCTCCAGAAAGACAGAGATTACATGTTTTCTCACATGTGAATGTTAGCTTTCTTTTAAGTTTTAATGAGAGCATTTCATTTGGAATACGCACACAGTTTAGGTAACTAGAAAAAGGCCCACAAGAAAAGAGGGGTTCATTCAAAGAAGGGGAAATAAAATACAGTATTTTAAATGGAGAAAGGTAAAAAAAAAAACTGGAAAGGATTAAATTCCCCCCTTTACCCTGTTCTCCCACTCCCTTCTCCATTTGATCCTGATTGTCTATTCACTGTATGGTCCCACAGAGAAAAGGGTGGTGGTGGTGGGAACATACAGCTTTGCCAACTCATCTTACAGTCACAGATTCATAACTGTACTGTTTTTCCCAGTTCACTTACTGTCCTTGACATTTCTGTCACATACTCTCAGTACCTAGAAATCCTACGAAATTGTTTTTCCTGTAAATGCCTACTATACATCTGTGTTCATTTACTACCTCAAGCTACTTTGAATTAAATATCCAGGACCTCAGCAGATGCTAATACACCATGCATGCCCTAAGGCTCATGATGTTCTCCTCTACCTAAATACAGGATTTGTTTTAGTTCATCCTGGGTCTAAATCGTCAAGTTCTTCTGTTTGCTTCATCCTTACCCCAAAGTAAATGTAGTTCTATTTCCTATTTCAAAAATAAAATGATTAAAATAATTATGTTTGCACTCAAGCCTGTGTTAACTACTACTTGTTTTCTTTTATTTTGCAGTAATCCTCTATTCTATTAAACTCAACCCAATCAGTCTTTATCACTTATTACCTTATCAAACCTTCCTAAGCCCAGGGGGAAACGCTCTTGTCATTTTTATATTACCATGGTTTAAAAATAATACATCTCATGAAGATGTTAAACCCTTAATAGTGTCATATCTCACTTGTCTTCCAAGTTAAAAATTTTAGACTTATTTTTAATTTTTTATTATGGGTTACATGTATGTATGTTTACTGTGTGTAAACATGTATGTTTACCTGGTACCTGTAGTGGTCGGAATGTCTAGATCCCATAGAACTGGAGTTATGGATGGCTGCAGGCTGCTGGGTGGGTACTGGGAACTGAACCTGGGTCCTGCGCAAACCAAGGGCTCTTAACTGCTGAGCCTATCTTAGATTTTTTTGTTGTCAACTATATTTACGTGCAGTGCTTAACTTGCCTGTGTAAACGAAAATAAAAGAGACTCCTTTAACATCTGAAAAACAGACAGTAGGACTCAGTATGACACAGTACTACTCACTAATCACAGATTTAGACAGGCTATTTTAGAGAAGTTTCAATACTTCCCCGAGAGTTACTGTGTACTACCTTGACAGATACTTTACTAACTATAAGTGTGTTTTCAAGTTCTGGAGATGGAGTCCACAGCCTTCTGCATCCTGGAAAGCACCCAACCACTGAGCTATTATGCTTCTATGTACTAAAAATAAAAATTTGAAAACAGATGGCCAGAGATTTACATACTAATAAAGTTCTCTCAAGACAATTTATATCATAAATTTTATTTATATTTAAATTCTGAAAAATATATGAATTGGCTCCTCACAAATAAGAGATAAAGTCTGTCCCAAGAGCTCATACTTAGTTACACAGTTGAGGCAGGGCAGTATTCTTTAAGGCTATTATTCTTAAAATAAGTAGAGACACAAATCACAAGGGTAGCTACACAAATAATACTTCATGTTTCCTTCCATGAAACTAATGTAAGTCATCTTCTTAAGACATTTCCTAATTTTAATTTTGAATTGTCTTTTAACCAAAAGACAATTTTTTTTATTTGTTAATTACATTGTTCTGGTGGGGCAGGTGTGGAGGGCAGGAGGCAACTTGTGAGAGTCAGCGCTGTTCTGCTATGGGGTAAGGTCATGGAAATCTAACTCAGGCTTTTAGGTTTGACCTCAAGCACCTTTCTGTTGAGACATCTTGCCCAGTCTCATTACTTTTTACTTACTTATTTTTTTTTTATCTTTGTTTCTGAGATAGGATTTCACCATGTAGTAGTAGTTGGTCTGAAACTTGCATCGATGACCTGATTCTTGTTTCTTGGGTGCTGGGATCACAGGATTGAACAACCTTGTCCAATTCTGTTTCTATTTTTATCAAAGAGAGAAATGAAAACCGCCTTGTTCCAGATGAAGTCACTGTCTGCAAAATGTGACTATCATAATTTAGATATTACCTGAACTTCCAGTAAGTCATCCATCACCAACGATGCAAATAATGTCTATCTGCAATGCAAACACTTTCACCTGAAGGCAGGCTGCAGTCTCTTGGAGCTAAGAGAGAGCAGGAAGAGATGGCAGCTGGGACCTTCTGCATGCACTCTGCCTCCACACAAGCACACAGCACACAAAGCATGCGTTGGGGTCATCCACTTCCTTCCCTCATTCAGTGGGAGTCAAATGTGCAATGTGTCTAATTAACTTGCTCAATTTACCATCCGCCAATTTACAACGCCCTTTAACAGCATCATCATCGGAAAGCTATTGCTGGCATGCACAGTACAAAACCTGACTTGGGAAGAAGCGTATTTTAAATGCCTAACTGTCCCCAAATTGATAACTGTATTGCACCTGTTGCCTCACACGCTGATGAAAATAAATTTAGGCATGGCTCATTTGGGTAGAAAGTTTTTTAAAAAGTAGTATTAGTTATAAAATGTGTGGTTATATAAGCAAAAAATACAAAATAACCTATAGGATTTTTTTTTAAAAAACTGAAATTGGTAAATTAATAACATATTTGAGTATTGGCTTTCAAACAGTAAATGGACAGATATAAGAAAAAAGACCCCCCCACATGTTAAATCTATGGGCACAAAGACTTCTGTTCAAATAAAACACAGTATGAATCATTTCAATTTAGGAATCTATTGTTCTTAATGCTTTCAAGTTCAGTACAAATCAAATCTATCACCAAGAAATACCAAGAAATAATAGCAGAATGCTTATCAGCATGAGGGAGACAATCTGTCTTCTAAATGAGCAATGTGAGCCCAAATTTCCAACGGAAAGTTAGAAATTGATATCAGTCCAAAAAGCACACCTCCTAGAAAGACAATTACGTCTGAGGACAATGTCCTGGTAGATGTGCTTTGTTCCACCGCAGGGAAGATAAGCAACTTGCCGCTGCCTGTGTTTTTCCCTATGTACAGCTGTAAAAATGAAGAAAATAGGCTTTTGCCCATCTCTATGGACTCTTTCTGGTACTCAGGCCTTTTCTTCCTTCCTTCCTTCCTTCCTTCCTTCTTCCCTCCCTCCTTCCCTCCCTCCCTCCTCCTTCGCTCCCTCCCTCCCTCCCTTCCTTAGTAAAATTGTATCTTCTTCCCAAGATCACCAGAAAAACTATTACTACACAGTAGAGATGATGTAGGTTGGGACATTTCATTCTATGCCCATTAATCACGGAGCCATGTCAGGGGCTGCTCACCCCTCCACTACTTTCTTATAATCCCCAGGCCTTTTATACTGCTCATCCTCTTAGTTTCATGCCCCACCCCGCAGCTTCCACACAGGAGACAGAGCATGTGATGTTTTCCTTTAGGGGACTGGCTTTTATCAGCTAACATGGTCTCCAATTCTAGTTTCCTACAAATGCTTCATTTCGGTCTTCTCTATGACTGAGTAAAACTATATTGTGTACCTGCACTATCTACCTCGACTGATTCCAAACGTGGCTATTGTGAATAGAGATGTGCAGGGATCTCCATGATAATCTGACATACATTTATTTATTTTATCACATATATTGTGTGGCTAGGTCAACTTAGGTGAACTTTTTTTTGAGAAACCTCCATACTAATTTCCATCTAGATCAGTCTACATTATAAATTACCACTAACAATTTATAATGACTGGCATTCCTTTTCTTGATGATAGCCATTTTAGTGAGGTAATGTTGTTTCAATGGGCATTTTCCTTATGGATATATAGGTGGTGAGCCTTTCTTCATGTACCCGTTTTTAATGGGTGCTTCACCATCTGAAGCGTCTGCTCAGTTCCCTGCCCAGTTGCTGACTGGAGTCTTTTTGTTCTTTTACTATTTTGTAGTTTATCTAGTTCGGCATATATTCTAGATAGATATTCGCCCTTCTCGGGTGAGTCATGACAACTCTTTTCCCCAATTTGTACCCTGCCTTTCTTTTCTTATACTTTACAAGTATGTAGTACAATTGTCTCTGCTTGCTTTCATTCCCTGAGTTCCTGGGATCTTATTCAGGAGTCACTGCCTATTTCAAGTCAAGTGTTTTCCCTGTTTTCCTCTAGCCGTTTTGGATTTTTAGGTTTTACATTAAGGTCTTTGATCTTTTTTGAAGTCAAACACAAACTAAAAGCTAGGACTGCTACTACAAATTTAAAGAACAAAAACCTTGCAAAAATGAACTCACTTCATTTCACAAACGGAGCCAAGAGCAACATGAATATATTGTGTTCCAAACCTCGACACTGACTGACAATGCCTGGACACACAAAGCACATGCTGCCAATGTAGACAGGACGCAATCACGCTGCCTTGTCCCCTTTAAAAATGAATATAACATAAAGTTGGGGCCGCGCTCCTCATCTATGTGCTCTGCACCCTCAGGCTGCGCATGTCTCTCAGCAGCACTGGTCGGTAGTTTTGCTCCAGAGTCTCCATGTATTCAAAGTAGTTGCTCACTCGAAACCCACGGAGTGCTTCTTCCTGCCAGGAAAATAGGAAGGGAAGTTCATTTGCTTAGAGAAAGATACACAGTTCCAAGTGAATAATGTTTAAGTAGCTGGAGTATCATTTGTTTTCTGCTGTAGATGCTGGGGCAGTTTACATAGCTCGTAAGTGTATAATTGCTTTTCATTTGGGGAGCCGTGTCTGTACCTGTCAGGAATGAATCATGGCCTCATGGGGGCAAGGTTATTTTAAAAAACAAAACTGCTTGACCACTAACAGCAGCAGCAGCAATAGCAGCAGCTCTTCCTAACAAATTGCATCCCATTTCAATAGTTAACTACGTAACTAGTAATGGCTCTCAACTCCCTCTGTGATGCTGTGATGTACACAAAATCTGTGCTGCAGCCACTGCTCATAAAACCCTCCATCAGCCTGTGGTTCACAATGATGGCACTGTGCATGTGAGCAGACACTTTTGCTCTAATGGTTAGTGTCCCAAACGAGGCACTCAAGAATAAGCAGCATGAACATCTATTTATTATTTTAAGTCTCTGGGGACAGGGTTTGACTATGCCTTTCAGCACTCTCAAATATTATCTAACGGAGTATCTATCTGAAAGATTTAAAAAAAATCTTCGAAATAGCTATTCTCAATTCAACACACCCATGTTAGCTTTTGAGGCTATAAAAATTTTAGACAATTCATGCCCTCACAAGTTATAATTTAAAGATGAAAAATAAATAACATAAACACAATAGCAGCCCCAAAAAATGAAAGGCAATGCATATTATATGGCATCTAGTTTGTTAGCAGTGATATGAGAGACGCATCAATGTAAGGTAGCTAAAAATACAATTTTTCACATAATGGATGATTTTAAAAGCTTCATATGTACTCATATTATATATATATATATATAAAATCTCATATATATTCACTTATGAGTAATAGTTCACAGCATGCATGTAGTTATGTATAACTTTATTATTAGTGTGCCACATGGCGCTCAAAATCTACACCATTTGAAAAAAAGATATAGACAATCTAAAACATTATTATTCCTCACCAGGGCTGACAGATGCTGAAGAAACTAAATGGTGTTTACTGAGGAATCCACTACTAACCCATCCAACACAAGCGTGTGAATTTCACTTTTCATTGTAAGGTGAAGGACTGTCTCATCCATTCTCTCACTGTTCACTCGTACATTCTACTAGCATGTGTAAGCTCTTGGTTGTGCACACAAGACACCTGAGTGACTGAAGTAAGAACTGTATCCTAGACGGTTAACACCCAAGGCAAACCGTGTCCTCCCATTGATAAACAGGAAACTTGTCTTAGGGTTATTATCACTGCATTGAAATACCACAACCAAAGCAACTTGGGGAAGAAAGGGTTTATTTGGATTATAGTTCAGCATTGCTGTTCATCAATGAAGGAAGTCAGGGCAGGAACTCAAACAGGGCAGGAACCCCGAGGCAGGAGCTGATGCAGAGGCCATGGAGGGGTGCTGCCTACTGACTTGCTTGCTCACAGGGCTTGTTCGGCCTTTCTTATAGAACCCAGAACCACAAGCCCAGGGATGGCACCACCCACAGTAGGGCTGGGTCCTTCCTCATTGGTCACTAATTAAGAAAATGCCTTGCATCTGGATCTTACAGAGGCATTTTCTCAATTGAAGCTTCTCCACTCATGACTTCCACTCATAATTTGTGCCAAGTTGAGACAAATTATTCAGCATACAACTGAACCAAACAGAAGAGGTTCCAGTGGGCTTAATCACACACACTTGTAATCCTTGTCCTTAACAGACTGTCAGAAGAGGATAGTAGATTCAGTGTCACCTGGGCAACATAGTGAAGCCCCGACTCAACAAAGAAAACAAAACAAATAGATGTTTACTTGATTAATGGCAGAATATTGGGTCTATGTAAATTTCTGTCTATCAAAAGTACTTGCTCACCAGGGGGAAAAGGATCAAAGTAAGACCAACCTTACTGGACCAGAATTCATCTTAAATAGCTATTGTTGTAATGACAGAACTCTTACAAACTTACACATTTTCTTTAAAGTATATGTGAGTGGCTTGGCTTTGATCATTTCTACTCTAAAAGTAACCTTAAGTTGGAAGGCAATTATAGCAATAGCTTCCCTAACAGAGAAATTGCAATGCTGTGAGAACTGTTATATGATGCATTCATGATTTTCAAATAAAAGCTTATTATTCATTCAATGCAACTTAACAAAGAGAAATAGCAGTGCTTGAACAATGGCTCTAATAATACTTTCCTGGCAAAAAATAATGAAAAATTACTTAACATCTTTTAATTATTCTACTTTCATTTAAACATAAAGCTACATAGGGAAGCCACAGTTAATTACTTGGCTTAAATGTATTTCTATTTTAAATTTTGTTTTTTTTTTTTCAAAAACTGGTTCCTCTTTTAGATATAAATTTTTAGGTTAAAAGAATACATTTTAACTATGCTGGAGAGATATCATAATATTAGCATAAAAGGTTACTGAAACGACACATTATAAGGGAAAAATTTAAATATACTTTTTAAATGCAATTGTGTAAATTGTATTGTTCATTGTTTTAAAAAAATTGCAGGCAATTTTATTTCTGAATAAAAATGCAAAGCACTCAAGTTTCACTTTTAATCTTTAAAGTAGAATATTTTTCATCTCTTCCTAGAGATTCTCTAGCCCTCTTCTCAGGGCATAATCTTACTTGCGATTATGTCCATTTCGATTATTAGGCTATCATTCGAGTTGTGACTGACCATTTCCGCAAAGCATGGTTTCACTACAGTTTCTTTTGCAGACCTAAGTATATTGGAACCACCCTGTTCTAAGAATCGGGAAGCATGTTATAAAGTGTTTTTTTTTTTTTTTTAAAAAAAAAAACAAAACAATTTTTTTTTAAAAAAAGTTTTAATGTTTTTGTAACAACAGTGAAACAGTTGCTCAAGTAAACACTTTAATAGGTTGTACTGCAATAATTTAAATCTGGTTTACAAAGTTCACTGAGAGAATGCTTTTTTATCAGTTTGCTTTCAATGACTGCTTCATCAACTCTGCATTTTAGACGTTGAACTACCAAACAGCATTAGAAACTAACATTCCTAACCACAGCGCTGTGTGTGCTATCACATGATATAATATAAACACACCTTCTTTCTTTCCTTCAGACATAAAAGTTCAATTCCATCTTCTATTTTTTTTAAGAACATTTGATCATGATCCAGTAAATGTAGAATACTGTTTGAAATACAACTATACTAGTTAACCAGGAACAATTTGAGTTAATAGGATTTAGGTTCAGCCAAGAAAGATTCAAAACCTCTCCACATTAATTCTCAGATTACAAACTTACGTAAGCTTACTGACTATAAATCTTGATTTTTCATGTGCCAATGGGGACCACAGGGATGCCGAATATCAGATATTTAGATTATTATTTATAACAGTAGCAAAATTGCATTTATGAAGCATCAACAAAAATAATTTTAAGGATGGGGGTCACCACAACATAAGGAATTATATTAAAGGTCACAGCATTAGGAAGGTTGAGAACTACTGCTCTATGGGGATTCTTGCCTCTGCGCTTTGCCCCTCTAAGCTTTTATGAAGGGTTTCCCCCAGAGCTCTTCATAAGGTTTTTCTTCTAAGGCATTCATGGCTCTTCCCATCCTTTGGCATGGTCCAAACATTGTCTCTGACTCCCTCATTGTGCCACAGTGTCCTTCACTAAGAAGAATTATGTCGGAAATACTATCTATACTGTTTCTCTCAGCAGAATTTAAGAACCATGTGGGACACAGACATTCTATCATGCCACTACACCAGTGCTTGGGATACAGCTGTTACAGAGAAAGTACTGGAATAAGTCAAAGAGTGAATAGCCAATACCTCTAAAGTCCTTTGCCCAGGGTCTCGCATTCAGTAAGGGCTTAGAGCATTAATGGTGGTCATAACAATGTCAACCGACAGTCTTTTTTTTTTTTTTTTTTTTTTTTAGTACTTTGGGGATTTTTTTTTTAACTTTCTTTTTGTTTTATTGAGAAAAAAAAAAACAATTTCCGCCTCCTCCCAGCCTCCCACTCCTCCCCCCCACACTCCTCTCCCCGTCTCCCCACTCCTCTCCCTCTCCCCCCACTCCTCTCCCCCTCCCTCTCAAGTCTGAAGAGCAGTCAGGGTTCCTTGCCCTGTGGAAAGTCCAAAGTCCTCCCCCCCATCCTGGTCTAGGAAGGTGAACATCCAAACTGGCTAGAAAGAAGGAGGGAGAAGACGAGCAAGGAAGTCAGGACCAAGAGGGGTGCACCCACCCACGGAGACAGTGGGGCTGATCTATTGGGAGCTCACCAAGGCCAGCTGGACTGTGACTGAAAAAGCAGGGGATAAAACCGGACTCTCTGAATATGGTGGACAATGAGGGCTGCTGAGAAGCCAAGGACAATGGCACTGGGTTTTGATCCTACTTCATGTTCTGGCTGTTTGGGAGCCGACAGTCTTTAAAATGGTGAAGATATGCTCTCCTGAGTAAACATCAGACAACAGCAAAATGTGAGGGCAATACATCAAGGATTATTGACTTCAGCTTTTGCTCCTCAAGTCCTTGGCAAGAATATAAGAACCTCCCCATCACAGATACTCAGATATCACTGTCTTTTCTCCCGAATCCTCTGGGATATGCCTACGAGGGAAGGGAAGGTAACCTGCATTTCTAAAAGCTCTTTGTTATCAATTATAATGTTCAAAGATACCAGAGACTTATTTGTCAAAAATATTTTCTGCAACCAAAAATTCCATTAAGCATAATATTTTGATTTAGTGTTAAGAAGACACAAGGTACAGTATGATTTTTATCACTGAGTCTATTTGCTCCCAAACATTTGATTATTAATGTGTTTGCAAGGTTAAGGTAACTTTTTTTTAATATTTATTTATTTATTTAGTATGTGCACAGCATTCCTTCCATATGTGCCCGCAAGCCAGAAGGGGGTGCCAGGTCTCATTATAGATGGCTGTG